GGCTGTGGGGTGGGTTTGGAGCCCGGGGGGGCTGTGGGGTGGGTTTGGAGCCAGGGGGGGATTGTGGGATGGATTTGGAGGCCGGGATTGCAGCACTGGGGGGGCATCGCGGTGGTCGGGCCCCCCCCAGGGTGAGGAGCTCCCTGGTCCAGCCCTGGGTGGGCACCCCGTGTGACAGCCCTGTCACTCCAGGGGGTGAGGATGCCACCAAAGCCACAGCCCAGCGCTGTGGTTGGCAGCTCCCCCGGGCGAGGTGCAGCACCAGGGGTGGGGGCAGAGGAAATGGGGCCACACTCCCCCTCCCTGGACACCCCACTTCCCTCCACAGCGGGCAGTGGAGCCGGGAAGGGGGCAGCGCTGGGGAGCGGTCCCATGGCAGTGGGGAGGGCTCAGAGTTTCCCCACGGGGCAGGGAGGTCCCCAGGGCTGAGGGGGGGCACAGAGGGGGTGCAGGGGGGGGTGATGTGCCCTCATCCTGCTCACAGGAGGTGAAAGGTGCTCAGCAAGGCACAGCGACGGGCACCGAACCTCGTGCCCACCACGAGTGTCCCGGGGCACCACCAGCACCCCGGCCCCTCCCAGCACCGTGACAAGGAGCGGGGCAGCCCCCAGGCAGCGGATTTGGGGTGCTGAGACCCCCCAAAGTCACGAGAGCGCCATGGGGACACATCTGCACCAGGTGACACATGTCCTGGAGCTCCTCCCGCCCGGCCCGGGAACCGGAGAAGGGACGGTGGTTTCGGGGTGCCAGGGGGGTCCCCGCGGCCCGGGGGGAGCCCGGCAGCCTCCTGAGTCAGCGGCAGCCGCCCCCGGGGGGAAGCGGCGCCGGGAGGGTGCCGGGATGAGTAAAACGGCCCCGCCGTTTGACATTTATCACGTGATTTCAAAAAAAGAGAGAAAAAAACGGGGGGAGGAGAGCGGGCGGCGGGAGGGGGTGGGGGCCGGGCACCCCCTGAGCGCAGCCAGGCCCCTCCTCTGCCCCCGGCCCGGCTGCAGGACGGGCAGAGAGGGAGCCCGGCCAGAGCTGATGCCACCCTGGGTGCGGATCGGGATCTGTCCCCGTGCGGTGACTTTTGGGACCCTTCCCTGCAGCATCACGTCCCCCTGGGGGTCACCGTGTCCCCCCCCGGCTCAGCCCCCGGTGCCCGCCCTGGGGGTTGGATCCTGCCCGTCCTCCCCCTCCCCTGGCAGGGGCGGAGATGAGCGGGCGATAAGGCGGCGGCACGGAGCCTATCTCCTTCACACCATCGCCCCGCAGCACTGGGAACCGGCTTCGCACCCTGCCCGGGGCTGGGCTGGGCTCAGGGGGCCGGGACAGACCCCCCCCGTCCCCGCCTCCCGCAGCCTGCCCAGGCAGGGCGGCCGGAGAACGGCCACAACTCATCACACGGGTGCTCCCTGCCGGAGCCAGCGGATGGGATTTTCCACGAACAGCCGAGTTTGGGGGCGTTTCAGCCCCGGGGGTCGTGCGCCCTCAGCCCCACGGGGGTGTAAAAATCACCCCGGGGGTCCCACAGAGCAGCCCCAGACCCTCAGCCCGTGTAGGACCTACAATAACAAAGAGAAGTGGGGCTTGGCGGTGCTGCCCCAGCCGTGGTACCCATGGGGGGATGTAGGGGGGGTGTCTCCCTGCATAGGGAAGATCCTTCCTCCAGGATATCCGGGTGGATCCCACAGGACCCCCAAGCCCTGGGGGACCCCCAAGCCCCGGGGACCCACCCGCCGGGGCTTGGCCGTGTCCCCTCTGTCACCACGGCGCTGGTGAGTTTTTGGTTTTGCTTCTGGTGGTCCCATTTTGTGTCACCCACCAGCCCAGTAAACCCTAAACGTGTCACCAGGAACAGGGACAGGGGTGCAGGACGACGGCAATGGGACCCCCAAACCCCGTCACCCCCCTCAGCCACCCCGGTGACACAAGTTGGCTCTGCCAGGGTTGCCCGTGCCAGCCCCCAGCTCGCCCCCTGCCCCACCCCAGCCCCGGGGGGGGCCACCCACATCCTGGACCCCCCTCCCCTTCCCCAGGGACCCAAAGAGAGGAGACGGCTTCGCCCCTCCCGTGGCATTTTGGGCACTGGAAAGGTTTTATTGGGGTCGGTGGCGTCGCAGCGGGGGCGGGTCCCTCTGCCCGGGGGGGGTCCCGGGGCAGGGGCGGGGTCGCACCCGACCGAGCCCCCGGGGGTGCGGGGGGGGGTGTGCGCTGTGGCACGGGGGGGACATGCAGCGCAGAGC